AAGGAGAGAGAGAGAGAGAGAGAGAGAGAGAGAGAGAGAGAGAGAGAGAGAGAGAGAGAGAGAGAGAGAGACCGTGTTTTCTTATATCATCTTTTGAACATTACATTCAAAGAGTGAAAATGCGTCGTATATGATCCATTGTTATAGTTATCATCATCACTATTCGTTGAATACCTTCAAGTTGATTTTGCGTGGAGGGATCAGGGATGTTTGTTTTGAGGGGGGGGGGGCGTTTTTTATGTTGTTTTTTGTTGTTGTTGTTAGTTTATTATTGTTTTTGTTGTTGTTGTTGTTGGCTGCTTTGTTTTAGTTTGCTTGTTTGTCTTTTTTCTTCTTTTTTCCCAATTATTCTTCTTTTTTTTTTGGAGGGGGGGAGGGGGAAGGCTGATTTTGCTGGTGGTTTTGGGAGTGGGGGCGCCTCTGTTATTTCAAGATGTTTAATCTGCATTGCATGTCATGATTAGCGTGAGTGTGAAAAGTGATTGCTTTGGTCTCTTTCCTGCAGGAAATCAATGTCCTGCAAAAGGGACAACTTTGGATGCTAAAAGATTTTGCGAATCCTCCTCTGGAAGCTGTGTATGAAACGACATGTTAAATACAGGGTAGTTGAGCTGCGATGATGGTGGTGTTTGTGGTGGTGATGGTATAGAGTAGATGGCGAAAGTGGTGATGACGGTGAGGTGATGGCTAGAATGATGGCGAGGGTGGTGGTGGAGGTGGTGTAGTGTAGTGCAGATGGTAAAAGTGGAGAGGGCGACTAGGATGACGAGGATGGTGATGATAGAAGCGGTGGTAATAAGGGTGCCAGAGATGATACAAGGTGATTGTGTTTTTAATAACATAGCGGTGATGGTGAATGTCAAGATGATAATGGGGATAGCGATTGTGGCGACAGTAACCGCAGTAGTGATGGTGATGGTGATAAAAAGTATCGATGGTAATGAAGGTGACTCTGTAACATAAAAAACACTGGTGCAAGTGACGGTGATAAAAGGTTACGATGATAGCGACGGTGATGGTGAGTGTGGTGGTGATGAAAAATAACAGTGTTGATGATGGTGATGCTGAAGATGATTATGATCTTGGCTATATTTTCACAAGGAGAGGGGGGGGGGTGTATGTCCGAAAATGTAAGAACCTTCACCCGGTGCTGCTGTTTGTACTTTAAGTCGATTTTTCTTTATGTATGCCTATAGATCTATTCTTTGGCTGGTATGAAAGTTTCTCCTCCGAACTAACCGTAGACTGTTATAAAATGGGGTAAAACGATAAGAATTATTCTTTTGAGCCTAATCTTCAGACGTCAAGGCTTTATCAGCTTAACCCAAAATAGCCAGCGACCCAGTTTTCTCCCAAAAGTCACATTTGTCTGTTTGGGACCAATCACAGCTTTATGGGTTGTCTCGCTGACTATTTAAAAAAAGAAAAAAAAGAGTTGTGTAACCACCGGTACTACCACAGGCCTCCGCTCACGTTGGGCTGACAAGTGGATGATAATGATGCCTCAGTGATAACGAAGCCATGAGCAACAAACGATGGAGGCGCCAACAAATGCACGCCTGTTTCTAGTGGTATCGATTATCGTGTGTACTCTTACAGCTTCATTGTGTACTAGCAAATAAACAATTAACATGAAATTATTTGTTCGCAAACATGGGCGACACACAACACGCGTTTTTTAAGTGAGAACAGCTAAGAGTTAAAAGTAATTCTTTTTATTTTTATATAAATAATTATTATTTCACCGTTTTAAGGCGATGTCCAACAGCGTAAAAACAAACTATGACACAACTTGGTGGCGTCGGTGGTCTAGTGGTTAGGCAACTGGACTCGTAATCGAGAGGTTGCAGGTTCGGGGGTTCGAGCCGCGGGCCCGACGTTGTGTCCTTGGGAAAGGCACTTCACACGAATTTTCCTCGCTTCACCTAGGTGGGAATGGGTACCCGGCCATAGACAGCGAAAGATCTTGTCAGTAGGTTAGGGTTTTAGCGCTTATAAATGGTCGCTTGCACTGTATCCTTCCCAGGAAGTTGAGGTTGTTTCAGAATGCTCTCAGGTCTGCTGGGGTAATAGTTCAGATTGTGAAGCGCATAGAGCTTGCTGTTGAGCGGGCATTTGCGCTATACAAATGCTATCTATTACTAATCTATTATCAATAATTTTTAGAGAAGCGAACACTTGCTCAATGTTTCTTCAGTCTAAAGAACTGCATGAAATATCTGAGTTTAACTATAAAGTATAATATTATACTAATTAATTTCTTGCGTCATACTGCACTGGTATTTGGCGCTGGAGTGGATTAAATTATACAAACAAAAGCCAAAGTATTTTTGTTTCAGTGCACCTTATTGCTCTTTAGTTTAAGTAAGTGTTTTACGGCACTTGCAACACAATAAGGTCATATAAGTGCCGAAAATTAGAGGTGTTGCAAGAGAGTAACAAACACAAAAAAGAAGGAGGGGAAATAAAGGAAACAAGGAGCAAACCACACCAAAGAACCTGCCAATCTCCCACCCTTAATGTTCTGCCCCTGGCTTGAGATCTAATAATAATAATAATAATAATAATAATAATAATAATAATAATAATAATAATAATAATAATAATAATAATCATAATCATAATCATAATAATGATGATGATGATGATGATGATGATGATGATGATGATGATGATGATGATGATGATGATGATGATGATGATGATGATGATGATGATGATGATGATGATGATGATGATGATGATAATGATGAGGATGATGATGATATCTGTACATCTTGGTCCCTTATCCCGACAAATGAGCAAAAAAGATCCTGCCCAAGGCACAAATCATTTTTCTCCTTCATATTGCGTTGACGTCCTCCCACGTCGGTGCCAGCACATCAGGGTTGTCTATTTCACTTTATTTTACAGAACAATTCACAGCACATCAGAGTTGTCTATTTCATTTCATTTTCTAGAACAATTCACAGCACACACCTCTTTGTTTCGTCCTTTGACATTAACATTGTTCGTTACCGTTGGACCCAACCGGGGCCTTCCATATACCCAGCATACACGGATTCTTCGGATTTTCGGGACAAGGCAGATTAACACCAACATAACATATGCAGGCACACATATTATCACAGAAAGATCGATGACGATATGCGCATCATGTTATGAACAAAGAGTTGAAAGAATAAGGGAATAAGGCAGACTTTCCTCCAGGGGGTGGGGGCAAAAGTTGCCATTTCGGTACAAAACAGCCGAATTCACTTAAATTTGACTGTGACCTCCAAAATCTAGCTTGTTCTTTTCAGGTCACAAATCGATTAGGTTGCCTTGAGTCAAAAGGGTAGCTTTTGCTCCTTTAATAAAGGAAATATTGGCAAGCAGTATGTCGAATGCTGGTCAGATAAACAAAAAAGCATCACCATTTTCACATTTTTCTTCTAAAATGTAGGTGCTTTACGCATCCATCGACATAATTTAGATAATGCATGAGGCTGGCGTCATAGTTACATTACAAATGACATCATCTCATAAAATGCTCTCTTTGATTTCTATTCAAGGTAGCCAAAAGTTGACGGTGATGTATTTCTGCATTGCTTTTCACACATTGCGTCACGACACCCATGTCTGGTGTCCTCGTCTAGAACTATCTCCCATAACATTAACATTTCAGGGTAAGATAGTCGGAAATAAAAATCTGATATTAATTTAAAAGCATACTTTATAAAATTCCATCTTGATAGTTAGCCCTTATTCTTTGAACTCTTTGTTCACAGCGTGATGTGCATATCGTCATCGATCTTTCTGTGATAGTATGAATGCCTGATAATGTATTATGTTGGTCTTAATCTAAAAAGCGTCTGTATGCACTTTCATGCACACGTATTTTGTGTTTAGATAAAGGTATTGTAAAACGCCTAGAGCTGTATTGTACGGGAGTGGGCGCTGTAGAAATAATAACATGCAATATTATCAACATTATTATTAAAAATCAATTCCTGTGTGAAGAAAAGATGCTGTGATCCCAGCACGAACCACATGGTGAAGTTTTCTTTCTTGTTGCGGCTGGGAGGAAGCGTAATACAGAAAGAAGGAGATAAGAGATCGAAGCCAGTGCACGA